ACACATCAGATCATTTTTTCCCTAGCCTGGTGCCTTCCACAAAATGAAGCAGCAGAATCCAGTTGTGATGAAATTTGTGAGATAATCTCGAAAGCTTGGTTGGAATCCTGGATGTTGCAAGTGGATTTTAGAAAAGTTTCTTTTCTATGCTGTAGGTGCAAGTAATTCATTTTTCTGTTCTACAAGCACATCTCTAATCTTTAAAATGTAAGCAGTGTGTCGGTGAGGCAATGCAACTGGAAAGGAAGCCTGGAAGGAATTTGGGATGTTTAGCCCCCTTCCTTCGACGAGCGTCCCTTCCAAGAGGTTGGCCCTAACCCTTTTTCTCCTTTTTTAAAAAATTTCCTCTTGGTTAGAGAAAGCCAAGCCAATGGTGTCCTGCTTGGCAGATCTTGTCTCCCGATCTGACTTAAAGGAGGAATGATCTCACCCTTCTCTCTTTTTTTCCCCTCTCTCCCTCCTCCTCCCAAAAATGTGGAAGTCATCATGGTTTTGCATCATGGATTTGGGCACATTTTGTTGGCCTTGTGAGTCATCTTTTGCTTGTCCAGCTTTCATGTCACTTGCTTGGAATTTTTGTTTGATTCTTTTGGTCTGTTCTGCTTTTCTTGTTGTTCTTTGATTTCTCTTTTTGCTTGGTGTTTGTAGCTCATTGTGGCTTCTCTCCAACCCCTTACCCCACATCCGCCCCAAAAGAAAAAGAACATGGACAAGTCCAGTCTATTGGGGTCTTGGCGGAATTTTGGGAGTTGCGATCTAACAACTGCAGCAACAACCCACTATCTCTTCTAGGAAATCCTGGGAATTTCCTAGAATTGCTAAGAAATTGCTAGGAATTGCTAGGAAACCCTGGGAATTGTAGTTTATTGTGGCACCAGAGCTCTCTGACAGGCAAGGCGAAATGTTTTAGAAAACTACTATTCCCAAAATTCCTTAGCGTTGAGCCAGGGCAGCTAAAGCGGTCTCAAACTGGATTATTTCTGCAGTGGACCATGATTAATAGTTTGATTTGGGTTTTGAAAATTTATTTATTCATTAGTTCTGAGTATGTCGGAAGTGCAGTGCTTTGATGGTGTCTCCCTGCATGGCAGGGGGTTGGACTGGATGTCTCAGCCACAGAGTTGCCATGTGTCATAGTCAACTCAAAGGCAGTTAACAACAACAAAAGAGAAGGTAGTTCCATTCTGCCCTCAGTTATCCCTGACTCCTGGTGACATCTCCAAGACCCTTTATTCTCTATTGCACCTCTCAGGTCTTGCAGGCTCAGGCCTCCCTGGTTAAGTCCATCCCTCTGGCATGCGGCCCTTCTCTCTTTCTACCTTTTCTACCTTTCCTAGCATTACATTCTTTTCTTGTGAGTCAGGCCTTCTCATGATGTGGCCAAAGTATGACAGCCTCAGTTTTGTCATCTTGGCTTCTAGGGATAGTTCAGGCTTGATCTGTTCTAGGACCCATTTGTTTGTCTTTTTGACCATTTATGGCAGGGGTAGGCAACCCAAGGCCCGGGGGCCGGATGCGGCCCCTTAAGGCCTTTGGACCGGCCCCAGGCCGGTCCTGCTGCCGCCGCCGCTGCTACTGCCCCCCGCCATGATATTGATTATTGTTGTTATTACTTGTTCTTGGGGTTTTCTTGGCAAAATCTCCACAGGGGTTTTGCCATGGCTTTTCTGGGGCTGAGAGAGTGTGCATGCATATTTTTTATTTTATTTTTAAATTTTATTTATTTATTTATTTATTTATTTATTTTTGGTGCTTCGGCCCCCCAATTGTCTGAGGGACAGCAACCCGGCCCCCGGCTTAAAAAGGTTGCCTACCCCTGATTTATGGTATCCTCAGCACTCTTCACTAGCATCACATCTCAAATGAATTGATTTTCTTCCTGTCTGCTTTCCTTATTGTCCAGCTTTCACATCCATACATGGTGATGAGCAATACTGTGGCTTGGACGATTCTAACTTTAGTGCTCAGTTGTATATCTTTACACTTGAGGTTTTGTCTTGTTCTTTCATAGCTGCCCTTCCCATTCCTAGTCTTAATCTATTTCTTCACTGGAGTCTCTGTTCTGGCCAATATTTGATCCAAGGTACAGGAAATCTTTGACTTTTCCTCATTATTTAGATCCTCCGTGATCATTATTTTTGTTTTCTGTATGTTCAGCACTAAGCCTGCCTTTGCACTTTCTTCTTTAACTTTTATTAGTAATTGTTTCAAGTCTATGATATATTTCACTAGTATTATGGTGTCATCTGTATATGTTGTTTCTTTCTATGTTTGCTCTTCCTTCTTCTGATTCTAATCCTGCTCTTCTTTTGATATTTTCTGCGTACAAGTTGAACCATACCTTGGTATATAATGTACAAGATTATCTCCCAGCCTCATGAGAGCCAAAATAGAAGTGACGGGTGGCTTAAATTCAGAACTGCCCCGGTCACATAGGCCAACTAGAGCGTCATCCAATTTTAACAGGAGAAGGAGGGGGCACTCGACCCTCCACCTTCTTCTGACCTCCCTGTTCCCTCGAACATTTGCAGTCCAGCTAAGGTTTCTTTAGGCCTTAAGAGCTTCTGGCCTTGGAGCCAAGCACAGTGGGTGCTGGATTTGCCCTTCTTTCTGTTATACTTACACTTCCCTCATCTCTTGGGATGAGAATCGCATGGCCTTCCAGACACTGGATAGCATTTCTTACCAGCTCCCTGAATTCCTTACGAGTACATTGGCAATCCTGGATCCCATTCACACTAAGTAACTGCCCTTGAGTCAATCTCATCTCTCTCTGTCCTCCACTGCTCTGCTTAATTCCTGCAACCTCTTAATA